TCCCATCAATTGGTAATTTGCCTACAGAAACCTGCAAATGTTTTCTTTGCTTGCTCCAGCTGGGGTGATTCTTCTTCACCCATTAAATTGGATCTATAGTGCTCAACATATAGGCAAGGCAGGCATTTGAGCTTATAAAACTTAAACTTTGTTATTTATTTATTAAATGAGCGATCGTTTCGCTTGATAAGACCCTTATTTATCGTCTGGAATCATTTAAAGCCCTTTGAACAGTTTGTACTGTCTTTTGGACCTTGAACCGTGTGGTTACCAGTGAAGTGCATTATATGGAGAAAATCCTGGAATGTTTTCATCAAAAACCTTAATTTCTTTTCGACTGAAGAAAGAATGACATGGACATCTTGGATGACTTGGGGTTGAGTAAATTATCAGCAAAAGTTGTTGTTGTTTTTTTTTATAAGTGAACTAATCCAAAGTTTTTTGGTATTGGTGATTGGCTTGGCTCATGCTTGTTGCCTTGGGCTTGGCTCACTCAGGTAACTGCAAAAGCATCCAGAATTGTGCTGCAAGTTGGGTTTGGGGGATATTGGCATATGGTTTTGTTTTAGGGGGGTTATTGCTGCTCTCCCTGCTCTTATCCATGCATGGATGTGCTGGGAGTTCTCGCCCAGAACAGACCGATTCCGCCAATCCAAACTTTATGTTAATTGTCAATTGTATTTGATAAGAGTGGGTTGACAGAAATAAGAAATGTCTCTTGAGCAGTAAATTAGCATATTAGAATGATTTCTGAAGGATCATGTGACTGGAGTAGTGATGCTGAAAATTCAGCTTTGCATCACAGGAATACATTGCATTTTAAAATATATTAAAACAGAAAATTATTTCATTATTATTTTCCGTTTTTGAATATTAGTGTAAAAATGTGGTCAGTGTTGTGCTGTTATATGTTACCCAAAACACCAAGTTTTAGCCCTACCAGGTACAAAAGAGGACTCTGACAAACTATAGTAAAACGGTGGAGAAAACAAGGCAAACAGAAGTTACTAAGTCAGTTTGATCTGCTTTTCTGTGGTGTTGCATGTTACTATACTGGAAATTGCATTTTTGAAAAAAAAAGTGCTTATGAAACGCCCTGATTTCAACATCAGACTTGTTTCACTTCTGATGGGTTTCATGACACATATATGATGCTTCCTTACAGCACAACATCCAGGAAGCATAAGCTATTCTGTTTCCATTGTAGTTTCAACTAGAGAAACATGATCCTCAAAGTCATTTGAATGTGTTTCCAAATCCGCAGCCTTATTATATTTCGACTATAGGGGCGAGAGCTCCAGCTGTGAAGACAATTGAGCAGATAAATCATTTGATTTCGGTAGTAAAACAAAAACTCAAAAGTCACCTCAGAGAACAGAAAACTCTCTCCACACGAGGCCGAGCAGAATTCGATTAGTAAGCGAGCAGTCGCAGCGCTGCATGAGGGCTTCCTGCCCATTACTTTGTGAACTTTTGATAAAAGCCTGCTGATTTGTGTTGTCCTCTGTAAACCCTCACAGGCCAACATAAATGGCCACAAGCCTGTGTAGCATTCCAGCAAACAACCTTTGTTGTTGCCGCCTGGCCTCAGTTGACGTGAGGAACCTCACTCATGGTGCATACTAACAACTTTTTTTTAAAAAAGAGACCTCACCTCGCTCTGGGAGCCATTTAATGCTTTTTTTTCTACCAAGTAGCTTGTTTTGAGGAACTCATTTGGGTGATACTGTAATTGTCTTGTCATCGTTTCATTTCATCTGTCTTTTTCTTCAAGTAAATAACTCTAGATTACTCTGTTCCTGTAAGAAAAGTCACAAGAGGAAGTTCACATCTTTCTGTGGTTGTGAATCAGACTGCCTCTAACGGCCTCCTCTTGCACACACTTCCTTTTAAAAATGATTATCAGTTGATGTTTATGATTACAAATACCTTGTGAAGACATGTCATTTTGCAATGGCAGCTCTGCTATGACTGTATTTGGCATCAAATTGTGGCGTTGAGTAACATTATATAGTTATGCTTTTATAATGCTTTAGTTTGTTTGTACACCACTGTTTAACAAGTGCGTTATCTGATATGAGGTCATAAATATGAGCTCTTATGGTGTTTGCAATAGATAGGCGTATTTAAAATGTTTTATGTTAAATATGTACATGACACATTGAGCTGTGACATTTTTGTGACATTCACTCAGCGGGTCTATTTGCAGACGTTGTTGGCTGGGTGGAATATTAATTAAGGTATATGACTAGATGCTCCTGGAAGGTCACCAAGCAATGTCTTCGTGACTGGATTAATTAATATTTACATGCCTAAATTGTGCAGCCTTATTATACAGGGCTTATAAGTAGCAGGCTATGATTCAACTAGTTGTTTAGCGCTCTAGCTGTTTGATTCAATATTCCAGCAATCCTGGAGGCTGTAGTTTCAGGAGAGCATTTCAAGGACCCTAGTTTTATAAATTTTTCGCCACTAGCCAATTCTACTTCAACAACGGAGAAATGATTTAAACTTCAAATAAAACAAATGCAAACACTAGACCCACAGAAATTATTATTATTATTTTTTTTTTATCTATCCAGCTTATTTTTAACATAAGAGCAGGGCCAACATGAGGGTGAGTAAATGATGACAACATTTTTGGGTGACCTATCCCTTTAAGTGCGTCAGTCACACATTAGTATGTGCTAATGAACTGAAGTCTCCCACATACACAGAAAATAGTCTGTCTTTCCAAGAAAACCAGAATGTAGTTGCTTCATATATATATATACGAAGAGTTCAGATGCAAAAGCCTCTAAATGCCATTTGAAATTTTCTTCTTTAATGATGATTTTTATCAAACTTGTATATTTAAGTTCAGTAATTTCACTTAAATAACAATTAATAGGTAATTATCATTGCCATTTAAGTGAAATCACTGAACTTAAATATACAAGCTTGATAAAAATGATCATTCTAGAAGAAAATTTCAAATGGCACTTAGAGGCTTTTGCATCTGAACTCTTCATATATACGCTAATTTCATGCAGCCGCCATTTTGAAATGGCTCCGGTGGGATGTCGCCTTTAACCATTGGAGAGTCGCGAATGCGATGGCATATCGTTGTGTTTAATGTAGAAATTTGTTATTCTAAAAAGTACATACATTTCATATTTTAGACTATGTACAGGGAAATTGATATATTTGTAAAAACATTTTTTAATATACTGTATATTCCGAACATAAAAAAGAAGCAGGAACGAACTATATTCATATTCTACTGTATATAGATATTAATATCCAATAGTTTAAATCGCGGCAGCAGCTTCAGGTTCTAGTCCAAGACATTGTTCTCTATCTGCACTTCCGGGATTCTTCCCACCGGAGCCTCGCTTTCAATTTCGAAATGGCAGCTGCGTGAAATCATCGTATAGAAACAAATTAGGTTAAATATTTCAAAGAGTGTGTTTTTGGGTTAGGAGTTGTTTAGGAAAATAGGTTATATCAATCACATTTATATAATTAAACAACTAAAAAGTACATTCCTGAAAAATAATAAAATAAATACATAATTGGATAGTAAGTGCTATTAAATAATAGTATACTACTAAATATATATATATATATATATATATATATATGTAAGCATATATATAGATAAGCATTTCGCTTGCAGATGTTGCATGATCACTTTTTACTATAAGTGTAACATAAGTAACAAAAATGAAAAGCTGCACATTGAGTCTGCTAGATTTCACTGTAGATATCACATATGTATTTTGTTTGATTTGTAGTCTTATATTCATTTTCACTGAATAATGAGGATCTAAAAGCTGGGGAAGCCATCAGTGCCTGCTTTCATAGCACAATTTTTGGTCTGTATATGTACTCAACCCCCTCCCCATTTCCTTCTTTCGGCCTTTTCCATGTTATATCAGGGGTTTTTTTTCCCTCCCATTTTCCATTTGATCCTCATATGGTCCTTTTTTATGGTGTCTTTGCCACTTTGGTGTCCAACTAATTATTTTTAATCATTAGAGGTAAAACATTTCTTAACTTAATTTAAATTTGAGTTTGCTTAATGTATTATTTATCAGTGTCCCACAATACTATGCGTTTTATTTTATTTTTGTTTATTGATGGAAAATGACAAAATGGGTCAAGAAAATGCTATAATTACATACACGTCCCCCTGAGATGTACAATAAGCATTTTTTTAAGGGTTAAACATCTTTCACTGATCATTTCTTGAAAAAAAAAAAAGAAAAATTGGGTTTTTGTTTGTTTTTTTAACCTATTCATGGAAAGTGCCTTTTCTCTTTTTTACCATGGTTGGTTGCTTACTCTACTCTCTCAGTGTCCAGACTTGCTGGAGCATTTAAAGTATACCTTTGACTTAGCTGGCACATGTGCAAAACCAATCACTTACGTTAGTGGTAAGGGGCCCAACACACACTGAAGGAGTGTGTGTGTGTGTGTTTGGTGGGAAGGGGAGTAAGGGGGGGAGTGGGTTGGACTGAAGAGAACAGACTGTTCCTATAGAGAATGCAAATGTGAAAGAGGAATTTTCTGGCTGATCAGCAAGGTGCAGGAGTCAGAGAAGGCAGTAATTGTGTACCAGTACGATCCCCGCTGCTCCCCATATGGCCAGAATTAACGGCTCTAATCTTTTATAGCTCAATAACGTGATCGTTCAGACAAAGAAATTTGATCTCTGCTCTCGCAACACAAGGTCACGAGTCTCTTAACCCCAAAGAAACTCACTGAGGGAAATGTAAGTGATGCTCGAACATGCAAAACTCGGCGTCAGAATGTAAGGAGGTTGTGGGTGGTTGCAAAGGCATTGCTATGTGGCTTTTTTAGCATGTTATCTGGTTTCTAGGTCTCTATGATATTCTGGTCTATTGAAGTTACTATAATATCAGTTAATGTAGGCCCTATCCATTGTGTTTTGCTTATGGAGCCATTAAATTTATGTTGCCATTTCTCATATTTTGTGTTTTGTTGTGTGCTTGTAGCTTCTGAACAGATTTCGGGTCAGAATGGTTTGCCAGTTAAATCAGGAAGAAGTCCTTTGCAGACACTACAAGAAAATGACCTGGTATGTATTTTTTTCAGCTGAAATCATGGAAATGTTGTTGACTAATAATTATTCAGTATTTATTTATTAAATAATTATTAAATAAGACAAAGTAAACTTGATAATACTTTTGAAAGTGAATTTAAATGATATGATTTGGGTGGATTGCACTGACTAACTGTTGTTGAAGGGACTATTTTAACAGCAGTGGAAGGCGAATTACTAAAATAACAACCTCACATTCCTGGAGGAGCTCAATTTACCCCAATTTACCCCTAACACCGTCATCTTATAAAGACACATGCAAACCAACTGAAAAAAATACATGCATTACAACTTCCGGTATGTTAGTGTAGATTCTGAGATCAAATATGTTTTAGTTAGCATTTTTCAAAATCTAAAATCTTTTTTTCTTCCATTACATTTTTGAAGAATGAAAGTAAAAGGCAACTGGGTCTGACAAATTCCAAAATGGCAAACTTAGTATATTAGGAGTACAGGACTGCCAACTCTCACGCATTGAGCGTGAGACTCACGCAATTGAGCTAATTCTCACGCTCTCACGCCACACCCCCGATTTCTTACGCTAAAGTGTTAAGCCAGTCGGCAAAATACCTGAAAGATACGTTTATCTATAAATCCACCAGTTGAGCCACTCGTGATCGACTAGTTTTACGGCAAATTAGTTAAAATATTATCTAATCTAGTCTAGAGCGATCGTGCAAACGAGACAGCTGTTAAGCTCCTAACGTCGCGGATGCAAAACCAGGACCAGCAAGTGTTCTGTTAACACTCCGATTACATCCACTACGGGTTTTTCAGTCTCACTCACAGGAAAAACTGCTCCGTGTTCGCGTGAGCAAAGTGCACGTTTCTCTAAAACACCCAGAACAAACAGAATGCCTATTGTCTTGTGCTATTTTATGAAGGCAAAAAGCAATATCATGGTTTCGTTTTTTAGTTCATTGGCAAAAATAATGCTAGAGACCTTCATGTTAGTTTATACATTTTACACCTCATGTTCGGCAAAAGGCAGATTCGAACTCGTCCGAGCGCAACAATCTCTTTCATGAACTACACGCTCTACGATCTACGCCACTTTAGCTGTTCCGTGACTGGCGGAACTTTTTTTGCTATAGAGAGCCTAAGTCCCTCCCCTTCCGGTCGACCACCATGGGACCTTACTTCGGAAAAATATTGAATGGTAGTCAATGGCGAGAGACAACAAATATTTTGATCTCGTTTGAATTGTGCCCTCAATTACACATATGATGTTTGTCAATTTAAAAGATACATTTTAAAGTAAAGAAAGTCGCAGTTTGATGTAAAACCGTTGAGGTATAAGACTGTGAAAATACGTAATTACAAAGACTACAAACCCCAATAGCGCACATTTTCTCTCAATGAATGAAGCTAACTTTACTGAGGCTGTCTGTCATTGTTTCTACAGTCTTGCGTTATAATCGTAACGTTACGCCGTCCTACCTGAGTGTTTTGTACCAGACTGCACACACACGAGCAGCGGATCTCATTTCGCTACCCGGGAGATGTAGTTCACAGAGCGATTTTCACATTAAACTAAATGTTACTCTTCTGTTGTATGACAAACTGCGACGTTTTTGACTTTCAGAATTATCTTTTAAATTGACAAACATCATATGTGTAATTGAGGGCACAGTTCAGACGGAATAAAAAGATAAGTTGTCTTTCGCCATTGACTAATGACTACCATTCATATTTTTTCCGAAATAAGGTCCCATGAGACGGAAGCGGAGGGGCGGGACTTAGGCTCTCTATAAAGACAGGCACTAAAGCCCCCCACATAGTGACAACAGCCAATCACATTACTTTTCCAAGTGTTGCGTGCCATGAACGCAATTGGCTAGCGTTTGCACTAGGGTATTTGCATAGGCAATCTGGCTGATGCCTGTGTTGGCTCTTGAAAAGTTTAAAAATTTTCAACTTCTGCCACAAGCAACGCCAGTGACGCGTCGCAACGGAACCCACCTTTCCATTCGGCAACGCATTTATGTCACTCATTCAAAGTGAATGAGAAGCGTTAACACAGACCGTGTCAATGCACCGTGTGTTTTTTGAAGCCATGCATACAGACACTTTTCATTGTGTAACTTTATTATATGATAAACGAACAGCCAAGGTCTGATAAACATCTGCTCTTGTGTTTTATGGAGAAAATAGTCACACGGGTTAGGAAAGACATGATATGTGAGTAAATGATGTCATTTTTTGATGAACCATGCTTTTAAAGGTCTGAGTGGAACGTCTAGATAAGGTACATCTAGTTGAATCACCACCAGCTCATCAAATCCTATTATATTCTTGCCTGTATCAAACCCATCTGTGGATCATCCCCCAGGCAAAACCGGTACCCTCCCATTACTGCTATGTGCCTCATGATTTCACAAGAACTTCCCCTAAACACAGCATCTGTCTAATCATAAGTCGTCACACAGATGCATGTGTTTACATGTGGTGCAATTTGTGGTTTTCCTAACTGCACTGTTAAGAAATCTTACATTCGGTTTCAGAAGAAAAGTTAAATATGAAATGACCCATTTGACTTTCATTGACTTTTCATTCTATTTCCTCTAATACCACTCTTTCCTGTCCTCCAGCTGGAGAAGTCTGCAGTGCAGGCCACTCTGCAGGGTCGAAGGGAACTCCTGGAGGAAACCTGTCAAACCCACACCCGCAAAAGACGCGTACTCGGCCCAGAGGACCTCCGCCACCTCATAGTGGACGATAAACACAAGCTACTCTATTGCTATGTCCCCAAAGTGGCATGCACCAACTGGAAGCGTGTAATGATGGTGCTAACAGGCGATGGGCGCTACCGCGAACCGCTGGCTATTCCCGCCAACGTAGCTCACGTAGCAGGCAACCTGCGTTCACTCTCGGAGTACTCCACGGCCGAGATCAACAAGCGTCTGCGCACATATCTGAAGTTCGTCTTTGTGCGCGAACCCTTCGAGAGACTCGTCTCGGCCTACCGTAACAAGTTCACCCGTAGCTACAACACGGCCTTTCATAAACGTTACGGGACCAAAATCATCAGGAGACATCGTGCCGACCCCCAGGCTGACGCACTGGAAAAAGGCAACGACGTCTCCTTCGAGGAGTTTGTGTATTATTTAGTAGACCCTCAGACTCAGAGAGAGGAACCGTTTAACGAGCACTGGGAAAGGGTTCACTCGCTCTGCCACCCTTGCCTGATCCGTTACGACGTGGTGGGCAAGTACGAGACTCTTGAGCAAGATTCCCGCTACATCCTGAAGTTAGCGGATGCCGAAGGAGAGGTGAAATTCCCAGCCACCTCCAAGAGCACCAGGACCACGGGCGACATGGCGGCCAAGTTCTTTGACAACATCAGTCCTTTTTACCAGAAGAAACTCTTCAATCTTTACCGAATGGACTTCTTGCTTTTTAACTACTCGGTGCCGGCGTACTTGAAGTTGAGATGAGGGTTTGAGCGTGTTTTAACCGATCCCAAATCTTGCGGGCACAGACGTTTGAATTTTGCTCTTGTGTCTGGATTCAAATGAACTGCCTGGGGGAACCTGTAGAGGATGCGTCTTGAATATGGCGCTGCCCTGGCTCCCTTGAAGCAAAATTCAGCACTGTGAACAGATTACTGCTGGCTGGGGTGTTGCCTCCCATCCCAAAAGTTCACAAAAAACTGTCTGTAATTCCTTTGGCTTTGGAACCTTTTCACTGAGCTCCAAGTATGTGCCTTTGTCCTTCTGAATGTTGATAAGTGAAGCGGGATTCTTCGTCAACGGACTAATGCTATGAATGTTTCATCTCTTTTAATCTTTACCACCCAAACTGATATTTATAGTATTGTTTACATAGCATATTTATTGTGGATTTTGTGCTTGAACTGGAACCAGCAAGGCTTTTACGTTAATCTCGAAGAGATTCCTTGCGGCTGATCTCAAAGCCTCCTTTCTAACATTCCCTGGATATGATTTCAGACCATAACCTCACTCCCCGATCACAAAGGTAGTTTCCAAGTCTAAATGTACCAAACCATCAACATTTTCAATCAGATAGCTGGTTGGAGTCAGAGGGTAAGGGTTGAATTTAGACTTCTCTTGCAGTGGCAAACTGGGCGAGGCTGGCCGGTTTAGCTGATCTGGAATGAAACGGTGTTCTCACAGAGTCCACCCCTTTATTTAGCATGCAACAGGCAGGGTAAACAGTGCATAGCTGTGGTTGGGGAAAGGTATACCCTCATCAGTGCGCCTCTTGTTGAGCTATGGATGCAGGGTGAGGTGCAAATTACCCAATGGGCATTGCAGGTCAAACATCAGCATGATCCTGGGAGGAAACACTCGTCTTATGAATTCGTAATAAGGGTTGAAGTGCAATAAGGTTTTAGTAAGGTACCATTTATGTGTTTGATCTATCCCCTCAAACTCCTAAAGTGTGTGAAAATCAACCTTTTGTGTCTGTGCACTACAGTACAGTTTAAAGTCCTGCTAGTTTTCTTGACTTTATGAAATGCTATTGTGGTTCATTAGCACTTGGTGGGAATTACTTTTTAATATATATATTTTTTTTTCTCTCTTTTTTTTTCTTTTTGTCTGCGGAAAAGGCTAATGACTAATTTTTTATGGTTGAAATGGTTATGAAATATTTCGAGAGAATGAGTCTGACTAATATGTCAGACAGGCAGACTTGTCCTGGTGCACAGTGGGTACCTTGTGTGCCACATTGCCTAACAAAATTGCTCTTGGAAATGCTTTGTGGGAAAATATTTTCAATCTAGCTAGTTTTATTGTTGAACTGGAATCATCCAGAGTTTCCTAAGGACAGAAAACAGTCATCAATAGTTATGCTCATAAATGTGCATTCCCCTTGCAGAATATGCAGTGAGAGCTTGTGCGTGTAAACTTTTTGAATTGGAAGATCGGGGTAAATTGTACTTACTTTTTTCTTTCGGGGAAACGTATATATTTCATGTAGCTTTTAAAGGGAAAAAAATTTTAAACAGAATATTGGCTATTAATGTATCGTTTTACCATCTTGAGCGTCAGTGAATGTTTTCACCTTCACCCAATTTATCACGATGATATATTAAAACTGATAAATGATCCTTCAGCTGAGACACTTCTGTTCTGATACAAATTGTTCACCTTGATGTTTTTGAATTGCTTGAAATATGATAGGAATCCCTTCAAAAAGGAAAATTCAACGCAAATCGGTCATATAGGGTACATACAATTATAATTATGTGCTTGGGGAGATGGCTTTTAATGGTTGAGACTTTTGTTTTTGTAATCAGGCTCCAAAATTACATAGAAAATTTGGATTAAGATTTATCGGCTAATATATCAGTTATCGGCTTTCAAATTGTTGATATTATTAATATTTGCATCTTCTGCAAGGGGTATATAAACTTTCATTTTATAAACTTTCATTATTCTGATGTAAAACATTGAATGTATTATAGGTTGAAAATGTGAGTATAGGAAAGCCTTTAAGTGTGTGAGCTGAGCTGTTGAGAGTGTGGCAAGAGTGTGTGCCATTTGTGATGCAACTAACAGTTTACACCTGTTTTGAAAGCTTGTGGGCATACATGTGCTGCATAACTGTGAATCCCAGAATGGAGTCTTGCTTTGAAGGGTAGAAATTTAACTTGTTTTTAGTTTTTTTTTTTCATACGTCAACTCTTACCATTTTAATTATGTTGCTTCTGGTACGACAGTGGAACTTTTTCTGGACAAATTTTGATTTTTTTTGTACTATTAAGGACCAGGAGCCTCTTTATAAAATGTGCGTATGCACAGATTTAGTCTTAAATTGTGCATATGCGAAAAATGGTCTTTGAAATGGAAAAGTGCTTAGGGTCTGAGCAGACATACACACTTTTCCTTGGCAGTGAGTCGCTCGCAATTCATTATGTGCCGTTTACAAGGCAGAGATCTGAAACCATTCAGCCCTGCACAATTTCACGATCTTTTGCGATTTATACATTTACAGTTTTTCTCAGTCGCTTTGGTGCATTTCTCACGTCACTATTTACATTTGCACAACAGTTAATGCAGTTCTCAAAACAATTAGTACAAACTGCAAAACTTAGTTGATAACCTTGCTCAAAATGGATAACTCATTCCTCAAAAGCAAGTATTAATGTCATTGAAAGTGTCATCAAGATGAAAAGTCCTAACACCAGTGTTTATGAACAAGCTAGTCAAATAGATCATAGTAGATCAGTGCACATCTGTAAACAATACATCATTCATGCACATCTCTTCTCATCAGTGAAAGCTGAGGTTCACCTGTGAGAAATTGTTCAATTTAGGATAAAGTTTTTTTTTAAAGGTATAAAAAATGTAAAATTTACTTGATGGATTTTAACAAATAGTTTAACATTTCTATATGTGATGACTCAAGCAATGAAATGAGGACTATTAGTTTTATATGGAATGATTATTCAGCATTCACAAGTATAGTTAATTTGGACTGATATGACATAAGCAAATGATAACGTTATAAGACAGCAGAGAGTAGTATGTAAGCAATTGATGCATGTCCCAAAAGCATTTGCAATTTGTTGGAAGGAATGAGAAACTGCTACTATGATGTGCACAAATGACAAAATGTTGTGGAGGTTGAACTAACTGTTGTGCAAATGTAAGTGATGTGAGAAATGCACCAAAGCGACTTCTGGAAGAGAGGTGTACACACGTTTTTTGTGTGTATGCTCATTCTCTGAATCACATGTAGGCACATTTGAGAAATTATCGTAAGATCAAATGTGGACTGTTTCTATGAAACATTTTATAAATGAGGCCCCACAACACTCAAACCGTGGAAGAATCATGTGATTAAGGTTAATTATAATTCAGAGTGACGATTTTACAAGCGTGTACTGAATAAAACTGCCACATCAACATCCTTTTCATCAATTTATTCAAGTGAACAACCAATTACATTCATTACATAAGATAGTTATTTTGCCTTTTCCCAAAGTGTGGTATTTTGAGAGAAATAATTATTTTAGGTGCAAAAAGAGGTACATTGGGCTCTCTGTAGGGTATATGAGTTATTGTATCCAGTATAAATATCTAGCAGCAATTATGATCTTGTATATAGTTACTAAAACAGCAAAGGAATGACCTTCAAAAGTTTTGATACTTTACTATTATCTTTCAAATCAATCCTGAAACAATATTCTCCAGACAAAAGAAACCTCCTAGAGTCCTTCAGGGTTTGATATTTTGTAAACTTCAAATTCAATTTATACATGGCACATAAAGGTTTGTGACACGCTCCTAAAGTTAGACCTTGATATACAGTAATCAGGTGACTAGTGTGTATGAGAGAGCAGCATCATTGAAGCGACAGGACAACACACCTAGAATATAATCATGTTACAGACCATTAGGCAGTAGTCCATACCTGCCAATGATCAAAAGTGTACTTCATATTTCCAGTCAACCTACCCTGCAAAATGGTTCAAATTCTGTCTTTAGCTTCGCACAGAAAAGTTTGAAGCCACTGCAGCCAGCCTGGGTGGCAAAGGTCCCGTGAACAGAGAGCTGTAACTGGAGAAGCAGGAGGTCTAACATTTTATAAGCCGTTTCCCTCCACTAACATGACCAGACGGAAACACAGGGCCAGGAAACCCGTGCCCAACAGGTCTCCAAGAGCTGTGAGGTATGGGATGGAGAAGTTATCGGGGTCCAGACCTTTCCTCCACATCAAACGCACAATCAAGTCTGCCGTATAAATGAGGATCCCGACCTGTGAGGAAAAACATGATTAAATGTTCAGTTATTTTGCATGCAATTCTTAACTTATTACAGACAGATGTTTTTTTTTTTTACAAAAATACATTTTAATCTTTTGTTAATAATACTTTTGTTCAGCAATTTCAATCAATTATCGTTTTCAAATTTCCATCCATCAATTAATCCTGAAATTATTTACAGGTTCCAGAAAAATATTAAGCAGCACACGTTTCTAATGGATGCTATGCCACAAAATTATTTTTTTAAAGAGAATTGAAAGAGAATTCTGATGTAAACTCACATTCTGACTTTTTTTTCTTACAATTGCTAGTTTATAGCCTGCAATTCTGACTTCTTTTCTCAAAATTCTGAGATATGAACTTGCAATTGGGAGTTATAAAGTCCAATTCTATGTAATAAATATGTTTTTTTTCTCTTTCTCTTCAAAGAGATTTCCAATCTGAAATTAATAATTGGAGACGAAATTTAAATTTGTTCAATTTTCAAGTAAAACCCAGAACCAGTCTGTTCATTAAACAGTCCCTGTTTGATAATGCCAATAAATTACATTTGTATCCATATAATTAAGTCGGAGGAGGATGAATACAGTCATGCCAATTTCCACATTTTACCTGTGACTACGGTTTTACACTATTTTATTTGCTTTCCAGCCAGATGATGGGAAAAAATATATATAAAACAAATAAAGTGATCCCATCAGTGAGAATATATATGAAACAAGCACTGAAAAAATGGCACCAATGGCAATTGTAGACTTTCTTTATCTAAACTTTTCAGTGGTTTAAAAGTGATTTGTGTGAATTTTTTTAAGGTTTATAAAGTAGCACTACGGCTAACCTGAAGCAGAGCAGCACTCAGGTAGCAGCAGGTGAATGCTGGTGTGATGGCAGTGTGACCTCCTTGAAGCATATTGATGGCGAAAAGAAACAAGAGATGACCTGGAACCACCAGGAGGAACAGCACCCGCGCTGACTTTGAGTTCACTCCTGAGGAGAAATGGCATGAGCGTTTTCAATTGTTTCAAAATGATCGAGATCGACACTAATCACAACTTTTACATTTTTCAAAGGTGTTATGGGTAGTCGCAACTCAAAATCCCAATCTCCAAGTGATATTCTGGGGATGGATTTACGAAACATTCTTAAGAATAAAACTGCTATTTTCTTTATTTCTAACTTAAAGGTGCAGTAAGCAATTTCTGAGAAATAGCATTGAAAGACGATTGGACCGTATGCATTTCGATGACATTACTATTATTATTTTGTGTAGGACACAGACATATTTAGATGTCGTAATTCTATGATTTGTTGCTGTGTTATGTTTCGCATGATGGCCCTGTCATCTAACAACTAATCACCGAGATCATTGCGAGGAAGCTCGTGCATGAGAATTGACGTCATCCATAGCAACGAAGACTCACTCTTAGTTTAGGAGTTGTCGTTTTTCCCTACTAAGAGTAGGTCTGAAAGGCATTGTGAAAACCTTTTAAGAGAACACTCCTAGCTAAAATATTTAGTGCCATTTAAGAGTACTGCTAGTAATAAGATAAAATTATTTTTGAATACGGCCCCAGGTCTCTAAATATGGCTCGGGCCTCTCCCTCAATGTAAGTCATTAGGATTGTCGTAAAATCACAGTGTAACCACTGGATAGAAAAATGAATAGAAGACCCCTCCTCAACAAACAGCAGGGTTTGAGATATCATTCATAACTGTACACGCATAAATCATTTGTGTTAAAGTGTAAATATCAGGGATCAAGTTTTGTTCAAATTCAACAATACAAAGCTTGACTTAGCTTACTACTAATTACCAACTTTATCTCAAAGATCTAAAGGAGTGAATTCATCCCAGGAGCACAAATAGTTTCAAAGTGACCTCACCTGAGGAGAAGAATGTGACACAGGGGTTGGGCCAGTGCTGTCTCATCTTATAGGGCAGGACTCCAGGTACGCTCAAGAAATGAAGGTAGGTGGAGATCCGACTGGCCTGGATGGCCACCAGATTCCCCCCAACCCCTGAAAAGTGCAAATAGGAAAAAAATGTGAGAGCTTTCCAACCATTACACCATTGCAATTCTCATATTCCCCTCATCTCAGATGCAAATGTTAGAACGCAGCATGCGTCTATGGAAGTATGCACACTGATATCTGCCAAATGATACATTTTCAGCCTATTTCAGAGTATTGTGTGCACAATTAACAGCTTTTCCACATTTTAGCTCGAGTGTGTTCCTTGACGTGAATATCAAACTAGGTAATGAGGTATCAAATTAGTCTTTATGAATCCCAGCCACCTTGTGTCTCAGGACTGAGCTGGAAAAATAGGGTGCCAGATCCAGATAAACAACTAGGGAAGACGTGAGAGAAGTTTTCAGCAGATGAATCAAAGCTACTGCTGGATTAGGCCGCTTTTACAACCATAACATGCTCTATTCCCATTGCATGTAGTTTCTGCCAACATAGTATTGAGTCATGGTTCGAGAGGGGCGGGATCATTGGTAGAGCACGTGCAGCTGAGCAGGAACAGAACCAGCCTGGGGAAATCTAAACCAGATTGCTGAAGTTGACAAATCACCACAAGTGATATTTTACGCAAAACCAAACAAACTCTGCCTCGGCTGGGGTTTTTAAGTCTATTAGTTACACTCCCGTCAAAACGCTTGACTTCTTTCATGTACGATAAAACGTCGCAAGCGAAGAGCCAGTGCTCTGATTTATTGCGACGATTTGGAATGAGAAGGTTTTATTTTGGCAGCGGAAGCCGATCGCCTCCCTGAATCCACGAGTTGAGTTCCAAACACTGAGAGAGATGTGATCAATTTTACTGTAATGAGGAGTTGAGGAGAGAAATGGGCCTTAAATTAAGTTTCTAAACTTGTTTTTCAGGTTTATTGTTACTTTTACTACTACTGCTGTACATTGAGAATTGACTTGAGTATGTGAAAGGCGTCTTTGCTCAAAGTGTGGCGTGTGTGACATTACTCACCGTTTATGACTGGTGTGAAGACCGCCATGCCCTCAAAGTTAGGATCGCTCACAGTCTTATCAAGAATAAGGCCTCCGAAACTTAAGTTGGGAAGAGTGTCATAAATTTTAAATGTATTAGTTGACCCACAAATAATAATTCCTTGATTAGTTACACATCCTAAGAAAAGCAAGTTTAATTTACATGGTTTAATCATGGAAAAAAAAACTGAGTTTCTCCAATCTTCTAAAAACTCTGGATTCTGATAGAGGGCCATGAGACTTAAACCTGAGTGCAAAAATGGAGGCTCTAGACCCTTCTTGAGCTGAGATATTACTTAATTTTTCGACCGAAAAAAAAAAAAAACGTAAGGGGTAACACTGTCGTTTTTTTTTTTTCGGGTCGAAATTTTGAGTTTCCATATCTCAGCTCTGGAAGGGTCTAGAGCCTCCATTTTTGCGCTCAGGTCAAAGTCTCGCGGCCCTCTATCATAATCCATAGTTTTGAGAAGATTGGAGAAAATTGATTTTTCGCCCAAAAACGAAAAAAAACGTAAGGGGTAACACTGTCGTTTTTTTTTCGGGTCGAAATTTTGAGTTTCCATATCTCAGCTCTGGAAGGGTCTAGAGCCTCCATTTTTGCGCTCAGGTCAAAGTCTCACGGCCCTCTATCATAATCCAGAGTTTTGAGAAGATTGGAGAAACTTGATTTTTCGCCTGAAAATGAAAAAAAACGTAAGGGGTAACACTGTCGTTTTTTTTTTCGGGTCGAAATTTTGAGTTTCCATATCTCAGCTCTGGAAGGGTCTAGAGCCTCCATTTTTGCGCTCAGGTCAAAGTCTCGCGGCCCTCTATCATAATCCAGAGTTTTAAGAAGATTGGAGAAACTTGATTTTTCGCCTGAAAATGAAAAAAAACGTAAGGGGTAACACTGTCGTTTTTTTTTTCGGGTCGAAATTTTGAGTTTCCATATCTCAGCTCTGGAAGGGTCTAGAGCCTCCATTTTTGCGCTCAGGTCAAAGTCTCGCGGCCCTCTATCATAATCCAGAGTTTTGAGAAGATTGGAGAAACTTTATTTTTCGCCCGAAAACGAAAAAAAACGTAAGGGGTAACACTGTCGTTTTTTTTTTCGGGTCGAAATTTTGAGTTTTCATATCTCAGCTCTGGAAGGGTCTAGAGCCTCCATTTTTGCGCTCAGGTCAAAGTCTCGCGGCCCTCTATCATAATCCAGAGTTTTGAGAAGATTGGAGAAACTTGATTTTTCGCCCGAAAACGAAAAAAAAACGTAAGGGGTAACACTGTCGTTTTTTTTTCGGGTCGAAATTTTGACTTTCCATATCTCAGCTCTGGAAGGGTCTAGAGCCTCCATTTTTGCGCTCAGGTCAAAGTCTCACGGCCCTCTATCATAATCCAGAGTTTTGAGAAGATTGGAGAAACTTGATTTTTCGCCCAAAAACGAAAAAAAACGTAAGGGGTAACACTGTCGTTTTTTTTTTCGGGTCGAAATTTTGAGTTTCCATATCTCAGCTCTGGAAGGGTCTAGAGCCTCCATTTTTGCGCTCAGGTCAAAGTCTCGCGGCCCTCTATCATAATCCAGAGTTTTGAGAAGATTGGAGAAACTTGATTTTTCGCCCAAAAATGAAAAAAACGTAAGGGGTAACACTGTCGTTTTTTTTTCGGGTCGAAATTTTGAGTTTCCATATCTCAGCTCTGGAAGGGTCTAGAGCCTCCATTTTTGCGCTCAGGTCAAAGTCTCGCGGCCCTCTATCATAATCCAGAGTTTTGAGAAGATTGGAGAAACTTGATTTTTCGCCCGAAAATGAAAAAAAACGTAAGGGGTAACACTGTCGTTTTTTTTTTCGGGTCGAAATTTTGAGTTTCCATATCTCAGCTCTGGAAGGGTCTAGAGCCTCCATTTTTGCGCTCAGGTCAAAGTCTCGCGGCCCTCTATCATAATCCAGAGTTTTGAGAAGATTGGAGAAACTTGATTTTTCGCCCGAAAACGAAAAAAAACGTAAGGGGTAACACTGTCGTTTTTTTTTCGGGTCGAAATTTTGAGTTTCCATATCTCAGCTCTGGAAGGGTCTAGAGCCTCCATTTTTGCGCTCAGGTCAAAGTCTCGCGGCCCTCTATCATAATCCAGAGTTTTGAGAAGATTGGAGAAACTTGATTTTTCGCCCGAAAACGAAAAAAAACGTAAGGGGTAACACTGTCGTTTTTTTTTCGGGTCGAAATTTTGAGTTTCCATATCTCAGCTCTGGAAGGGTCTAGAGCCTCCATTTTTGCGCTCAGGTCAAAGTCTCGCGGCCCTCTATCATAATCCAGAGTTTTGAGAAGATTGGAGAAACTTGATTTTTCGCCCGAAAACGAAAAAAAACGTAAGGGGTAACACTGTCGTTTTTTTTTCGGGTCGAAATTTTGAGTTTCCATATCTCAGCTCTGGAAGGGTCTAGAGCCTCCATTTTTGCGCTCAGGTCAAAGTCTCGCGGCCCTCTATCATAATCCAGAGTTTTGAGAAGATTGGAGAAACTTGATTTTTCGCCCGAAAACGAAAAAAAACGTAAGGGGTAACACTGTCGTTTTTTTTTTCGGGTCGAAATTTTGAGTTTCCATATCTCAGCTCTGGAAGGGTCTAGAGCCTCCATTTTTGCGCTCAGGTCAAAGTCTCGCGGCCCTCTATCATAATCCAGAGTTTTGAGAAGATTGGAGAAACTTGATTTTTCGCCCGAAAACGAAAAAAAACGTAAGGGGTAACACTGTCGTTTTTTTTTTCGGGTCGAAATTTTGAGTTTCCATATCTCAGCTCTGGAAGGGTCTAGAGCCTCCATTTTTGCGCTCAGGTCAAAGTCTCGCGGCCCTCTATCATAATCCAGAGTTTTGAGAAGATTGGAGAAACTTGATTTTTCGCCCGAAAACGGAAAAAAACGTAAGGGGTAACACTGTCGTTTTTTTTTTCGGGTCGAAATTTTGAGTTTCCATATCTCAGCTCTGGAAGGGTCTAGAGCCTCCATTTTTGCGCTCAGGTCAAAGTCTCGCGGCCCTCTATCATAATCCAGAGTTTTGAGAAGATTGGAGAAACTTGATTTTTCGCCCGAAAACGAAAAAAAACGTAAGGGGTAACACTGTCGTTTTTTTTTTCGGGTCGAAATTTTGAGTTTCCATATCTCAGCTCTGGAAGGGTCTAGAGCCTCCATTTTTGCGCTCAGGTCAAAGTCTCGCGGCCCTCTATCATAATCCAGAGTTTTGAGAAGATTGGAGAAACTTGATTTTTCGCCCGAAAACGAAAAAAAACGTAAGGGGTAACACTGTCGTTTTTTTTTCGGGTCGAAATTTTGAGTTTCCATATCTCAGCTCTGGAAGGGTCTAGAGCCTCCATTTTTGCGCTCAGGTCAAAGTCTCGCGGCCCTCTATCATAATCCAGAGTTTTGAGAAGATTGGAGAAACTTGATTTTTCGCCCGAAAACGAAAAAAAACGTAAGGGGTAACACTGTCGTTTTTTTTTCGGGTCGAAATTTTGAGTTTCCATATCTCAGCTCTGGAAGGGTCTAGAGCCTCCATTTTTGCGCTCAGGTCAAAGTCTCGCGGCCCTCTATCATAATCCAGAGTTTTGAGAAGATTGGAGAAACTTGATTTTTCGCCCGAAAACGAAAAAAAACGTAAGGGGTAACACTGTCGTTTTTTTTTCGGGTCGAAATTTTGAGTTTCCATATCTCAGCTCTGGAAGGGTCTAGAGCCTCCATTTTTGCGCTCAGGTCAAAGTCTCGCGGCCCTCTATCATAATCCAGAGTTTTGAGAAGATTGGAGAAACTTGATTTTTCGCCCGAAAACGAAAAAAAACGTAAGGGGTAACACTGTCGTTTTTTTTTCGGGTCGAAATTTTGAGTTTCGATATCTCAGCTCTGGAAGGGTCTAGAGCCTCCATTTTTGCGCTCAGGTCAAAGTCTCGCGGCCCTCTATCATAATCCAGAGTTTTGAGAAGATTGGAGAAACTTGATTTTTCGCCCGAAAACGAAAAAAAACGTAAGGGGTAACACTGTCGTTTTTTTTTCGGGTCGAAATTTTGAGTTTCGATATCTCAGCTCTGGAAGGGTCTAGAGCCTCCATTTTTGCGCTCAGGTCAAAGTCTCGCGGCCCTCTATCATAATCCAGAGTTTTGAGAAGATTGGAGAAACTTGATTTTTCGCCCGAAAACGAAAAAAAACGTAAGGGGTAACACTGTCGTTTTTTTTTTCGGGTCGAAATTTTGAGTTTCGATATCTCAGCTCTGGAAGGGTCTAGAGCCTCCATTTTTGCGCTCAGGTCAAAGTCTCGCGGCCCTCTATCATAATCCAGAGTTTTGAGAAGATTGGAGAAACTTGATTTTTCGCCCGAAAACGAAAAAAAACGTAAGGGGTAACACTGTCGTTTTTTTTTCGGGTCGAAATTTTGAGTTTCGATATCTCAGCTCTGGAAGGGTCTAGAGCCTCCATTTTTGCGCTCAGGTCAAAGTCTCGCGGCCCTCTATCATAATCCAGAGTTTTGAGAAGATTGGAGAAACTTGATTTTTCGCCCGAAAACGAAAAAAAACGTAAGGGGTAACACTGTCGTTTTTTTTTCGGGTCGAAATTTTGAGTTTCGATATCTCAGCTCTGGAAGGGTCTAGAGCCTCCATTTTTGCGCTCAGGTCAAAGTCTCGCGGCCCTCTATCATAATCCAGAGTTTTGAGAAGATTGGAGAAACTTGATTTTTCGCCCGAAAACGAAAAAAAACGTAAGGGGTAACACTGTCGTTTTTTTTTCGGGTCGAAATTTTGAGTTTCGATATCTCAGCTCTGGAAGGGTCTAGAGCCTCCATTTTTGCGCTCAGGTCAAAGTCTCGCGGCCCTCTATCATAATCCAGAGTTTTGAGAAGATTGGAGAAACTTGATTTTTCGCCCGAAAACGAAAAAAAACGTAAGGGGTAACACTGTCGTTTTTTTTTCGGGTCGAAATTTTGAGTTTCGATATCTCAGCTCTGGAAGGGTCTAGAGCCTCCATTTTTGCGCTCAGGTCAAAGTCTCGCGGCCCTCTATCATAATCCAGAGTTTTGAGAAGATTGGAGAAACTTGATTTTTCGCCCGAAAA